AATAAAGAACTGTATGAGAGAAGATAAGAGAGAGAGATAAGACGTTCCGGCCTATTAAGTCATATATGCGTTAACTCAACATCGCGCGACAGGACCTCGTGACAGTATGACGGTCGCAGTGCTTGATGGAAAAGAAAAAGACGACAGAAAAAAGCAGAAGAGAAAAGAATTTGATAGTAGGATTAGATGGAGTAAAAGCGGGGTGAAGAAGGGAGAGGAAAGGAAGGAGTAAAAAATAAGGTTTTAAAAAAGAATGATTTTCATTTGTAAGGTTTCGCATGTCTAAAAATGATCTTGATTTGTGTTAAGTTTCATTACTTCATCTTTAATATTAGCATTAGCAACGAGAAGTATTCTCTTCTTTTCTGGCTGGGATACCACAGTTAAAAAAGTAAAGGATGAGGAAATTTTGTTGGGGGGAGGGGTGGGGGAGAGTATTTTCACATGTTGATTCGAGTTCATCCCTCTAATCGCGACAGCTTTTTTTCTTCTTTTAGTATCGGAATATTGTAGAATTTCATAATATCGGGATTTTCCTGAATTTGTTTTGCGTATTTATCTTCCAAATATTTCCAGTGGTCACAGCACAAAATCCCAATGGTACAACGATGCAAATTTTACAACCACAAGGCGCAGAAACAGACGAACGACGTATTGCCGCAATCCTAGATTCGTATTTTATCGAGCAACAAGCACCCACCACATCCGTCGTGACACCAATTGCTACCACTGTTGCTGCACCCACACCATCTGCCTATCCCTCACCCGCAAGTATCGTTGCGAAGTAAGTCCCCAGGGATTTTTTTCTCCTTTTTTTTAGCGCCCAATTGAGTTTTGAGAACGCGGGGAATAGATGTAGACCTCTCCCCTACCCATTCCGCGTCCCCTCCGACCGAAGAGCTTGAGTTTTGAGAACGCGGGAAATAATTTCACCTCTCCCCCGCCCCTTCCCCGCTCCTGAAGAGCATTTGGATTTTGTAGCTTTTGTTGTTTCGGGGATAAGATATGCGGATTTTGAAACTGTGGCATCGATAGTGGGCACAGGTTTCACGTTTAATCACTATGGGTATGATGAGTCAGTTGTGAAAGTCTTGATGTTGTCAAGATTTAGTCAAGAGACGCTTCTTCTAAGGGTTTTTGAACCAGGTGTCTTTCCGTTCGTCACAGCTGGTCATCTTTTACGTAGAAACACGATCTAGCCACCTATAAGCTTTGTTTCATAGCGAAAAGCATGTTTTTGACTCGCCAGATGGCAAAATTCAGAATGGCAAAATTCAGAAGCACTGGCAATTGTTAAAGCACATTTCGAAAGTATGCTTAAAAGTGAAGTTTTGCTTGAAATTTCAGATATTCACGGAACAAAAACACGACGCAGGATAAGCGTGAAAAAGATGAGGCGAAACGAGCGAAGCAAGCAGAAGCGGCGCGCCTCAGATACCATCGGCTGAGTGCCGAAGCGAAAAGAGAGCTTAACATCAAACGAACTATAGCCCAGAAACGCAAAAGGCAGCGTGAAAAAGAACTGGAAGAACTAGAAAATTTACTACGAGAAACCAATGATATACAGGAGGTGAGTAATATGGGATGCTTTTTGGAACTCCTGTAACGAAGCTGTGTTGAGTCAGCATTTAAATCACTATATTTTCCGATGATTATTGACATTCATGATGATTTTTTACAATGATTATTTCAGTAATAATGATTTAACCATTGTATATTCCAACGATTATTGAAATTGCTGGTGATTTTTTACAACGATTATTTCAGTAATAATGATTTAATCACTACATTTTCCAATGATTATTGACATTGCTAATGATTTTTTACAACGATTATTGCAGAAATAGTGGTATTTTTTTGTATCAGTTGTTGAAGATTTCAGGATCCTAACATCACTGAGCAGTTGCGTGAAAAGCGAATGCGTGCACGTTGGGCGGAAGCAGCACGTACGCGTTATCAGCGGATGACTTCAGAGGAACGC